ATTTTGAACGGTAACTGGTGGTGTCGCCCTATTGCAAGTTCGCTTAACCACCGTCGGACCTCCGCCTTAGCCAGTTCGCCCTTGAATCAATCTACCCGTTTTTAAATCCTCTCCTTTCGAAAGCGTTGACTTTTTGTTTTCTCCGAGTGAAAGGCTTGACTGTGAAAGGACACCATGAAAAGCTGGGCGCAACGACGCACGATTTGTAGTACTTATTACGAAATACGTACGTTGGTCAGGTTTATGGTGGTTCCGCCACATTGGAAGTTCACCTCTTACCACCTTTACCATTAGCCCCCAAATCTTTCGACTAATTTCCTTGCCACAGAACGTATTCATTTCCCGTCGAAAACATGATTTGTTAGGACCAACACACAATTTCACAGGGAAGCCATAACAAGTCTCAATCAACATGCAAATTCCTAGCCGTGTTCACTAACGCACGACTAATCATGACGAGTAATGCAAAGCCACTTTAATACTTGCCTTACCTTCGAACTTCGCTCTCACATACTAACACTCTTTGTAGACACTTTGTTGTTATAAGTTTCTGTCGACTTCGACGCTCGCGAGGCTAATCGCTCGACTGAGTTTTAGTGGAATGCTTTGTGCTAATGTTTGTTCATATTGATAACTATGAAAAAATTGTTTTGTTCATATTTTGTATAATTTGAGTATCTAAATTATGTTCATTTGTAGAGCGATATAGATTACTAAGACATTGTACACAAACCCTTAACGAACTTTGGCCTGAATACCTAGCGGCTACAATTTAAGATATAATTTCGCTCTGACGATGGGCTAACGCTCTGAACGTCATTTTTAGGAACTCTCTACGGTTAACAGCGTTTAAACGTGTTCCCTTTAGGAGACATAAGACAGTCGAACCCGTATTAAACTGTCACTCATGGAAATGGCTTGAATACAGCTTAATACGGGTTGATTTGGTTTCGTCAACCGAGTTGATAATGTTAATTAGCCAGCGTAGAGTTTCAAGGCTGGCGTTTTGAGCGTGAGGCTTTCCTCAAAATAAATGGATGAATTTTGGGATGTGTATGTTTGTATGCGGAAGATGGAGCTGCGCTATTGGTGGGAACATAGTGACGAGAAAAACAAGAATAGATAAGTTGAATGAAAAGCGTTCGTTGATACCGTTGGGATAAAGAGAGCCGATTTGAAAGATGAATTTATGCTCCAGGCTTTCCGAACTACCTAGTTGTAAAGAGAGGCCGAAGACTGCCATATGCTCGAAAGAAAGAATAGGGAGATTAAAGTGTTTAGCGACTGGTTTGGTTGCGTCCTTGCCCTTCCTTTCTACGTAGCGAAGGTGTCCTCGGAATCGGTCACTTAGTCGTCTTCTTGTTTCTTAAGAAGTGAACATTGGCGGAGGTATGCGTAAAGTGATCAGTAATCTTGATAAGTCGCTGGGTCCCGAAATTTTCTCTATGCTATTAATGAAAAGACAGGTTTTGCATCGTGCACGAGCGCATTTGATAGCTCCAGGTTGGTCACTAATTTGTGAAGAATTTCGGACCAAAAAGTTACCTGTGTTTTTGTCACGTTTGAATTAAATTTTATAAATTGTAGAAGAAAGTACCTGTCTCTGAATTATTTTGAGGTAATTTAAAGTTTCTGAGAATGATAGATTTCACTGCGTGGTTGTGAGGGTGACATGTGAGTGTAAATAGATTGTTATCGGTATCTTCCTTCTGTGCCGTTTTGTGGTGCTGACTGTCGATTAATTTGTTTCTGTTTTCCC